AAACAAATCATTTTCATTGCTGAAGTGAAATCGTTTTCTACTGCTTTCCATTATTTATAAAAATCAAAACAAATATACTTAACCACAAATGTGATGAAATGTTGATATTTTGATAATCGGGTAAGATCCCCTTGAGCATTCGGATACTTTCGGCTCGATAGGGATGCGTATGAACGTAACGTATCAGCCCGTTACGTTACGTATACGTATTTGCTTGCACAAAAACTCTCTAATAACACGCATCCATATTTCATGCATTTATACGTTTAAAAAAAAGATTTTTTAGTGAAACAGTAATTGTAATTAGCTGTCAAATAGTTCAGGTAAGAAAGTTTAAAAGAAAATCCATACTGGTGTGTATTTTTTGATAAATTCTCTAAAAAATGGCCTGGGACTTATGCAATCGATTTAGGGAATTTTCCAGTTTTCGTTGCAAATGGAACTACGCCAGTTTCATATTAAAATTTGCTTTGTTGGTTTCGTGCACATGTTGTGATTTTAGAAATAAAATAAAGGGACAACAGAACAAATTTCGAGTGTACTGGCGCATTTTTGTTCCTTTTTTATACTTTACCTCCATATCGTTCAATTTCAATATCATAAAACAAGTTTAAGCACAAAGCCAAAGGTCCTATGTTTTGGGCCGATTTTCACGTACCCATTACCTGGTGGAGGTAGATTTATTTGAATATATATATATATATATATATATATATATATATTATATATATATATATATATATATATATATATATTCAGAATGAATGAGAGTTCAAGAAGCTTTAAAATACTAAACAAAGTGGCACTTACAAGTGAAGATAAACATGGTGCTTCCTCGAGCAAACATAAAAACAAGCTAACGGTTATTACTGATGTCAATAAACCCCTTGGAAAATCCGAGCCCAAAGTTGTCGTTTTAAGCGACGTTAGCAATGTTTCTTTAAATCTAGATTATTTATTCGATGCTATAAATAATTTAAAAGAAGAATGTATCTAAGCCCAAAAAACTCTTAATGTATCTAGAGAAGAGTTACAAGGAAATATTGATCCCAACATAACCGGCAATGAAGATTTAGTCCAGGAAATCATAGAACTAGATAACACTGATATTTTAGATGCCTTTATAGACCTAGATTATCTAAACAACGCCGATGTAACTATTGAAGAGGCGAACTACAAAAACACTCTAAGATGGGATAATGTTTTGAATAGCGATGAATACAAACAGAAATAACTAACAGTACAAACTTTAACGATGCTATGGATGAAAAAGGAAAATTCCGGGTTAAATGATTACTCATTAGAAAAAGGGAGTAGCTCAGAAGCGGGAAAAGCGCAAAAGGAACAAAAAACAGATTAAGCAACAGTCAAGACTGGGAGTGCAATACCAACAAGAAGGGGCATCATATAAGGGAAGAAAAGATAATAAATTTGTAGTGCAGAAACATGAAGGAAAATTAAAAATTAGGTGTTGTATTAACCAAAAATACTTAGAGAAAGTGAAAGAGAAAACATGCGAGAAAAAACCCAAGTTCTTATGATGTACAATATTTACACAATGCTTATTTTAGAGATTTTTCTAAAATCAACTTGGTCAATTCAATTCGTACTGGACATAAAACTGGTGACCCTACGGTGCAAAATATTAGATCATTAAGATACAATTCAGAGGGATCCATAGAATATAAGATTAAGCATTCTGATGAGTTTCAGATCCTTCCCCTCAGATTCAATAAGAAATGCTCAATTATTGTTCCCATGGAAAAATTGCCCAAACTTTACCAAGGTAAATTAAAAGGGAGAAATTTGAACATCTTTAATCCCCAAAAAGTACCATGGAACCAGATTACCATCCTTTCTATGATAGTCTTGAACATGATTAAGCTTTATTTTTGTGCGCAATTTTTATTTTTAGGTAATATAGATTTATAATATAGACTAATAAAATTTTTATAATAAAATAATAGATTTCTTTCTCACATTCATAAAATTATGTTTCAGAAATAACATGATTCCAAAAAAAAAACTATAAGTATTATAATTACTCTGTTATAAGATAAAAACTGTTTTTTCACCTCCTATAAAATTTACATTTTGGTACTTACGCAATTTTCATATGATGCCGACGAAATGCTGAATTCCCCTAGTGTTAAGGCCGTATAACACTATGCATTTTCTTGTATCATTTCTTATATCGTTTCTGATATAGAAAGTTATTTATGTTTTCTTGTATCGTTTCTTGTACGTACATTTTTGCCCTGTATGACACTATGCAAGTTCTTTTACCAGAAATTGTATGTGATTTGGCACATGATTGGTCGAAATTTTGACACCTATAAAAATAGAACTGCAGTACCTGAGGCACCGAACAAGGACCTGAGGACGTGCTGAGGACCCCAAGCTACTGGGGACTGAGAACATATGCTACTGATTATTTTTAAAAATACTGTATTGCAAAAATGAAAGAAATAAAATGTCCCAATATGAAAACTAAATTGGAAACCACAATTTTTGAAGATATTCAACAGGTTGCAATGGAAGACAGAAATAATAAATAATTTGGTTGTAATAATTTATTTGTTTTTTTTTAATTATGTGTTTGAATGGTATGCTCTTGAAACTCTACTCTCTTATTTGGAGATATAAAATAATCTTTAAACTCATCACGAATTTTTAGAGCGGTTATGTATTGTTTTTAGTAAAACATCTCATCCTACTTTCAGTAGTTCCGATGATATTTGATACAATCACTGATTTATTGTTTTTCAATATAGCTACTGATGTTCTAATCTTGGTTATTGTTGGTGGACACTTTTCTCTGATGTCTGCTTGGCCTAATTGTATGTATACATCAGAGATACTTACATATCTCTGGTATATATCAAAGTTCTCCTCCAGCCATAGAGAAATAAAAATAATAATTATTTTTATTTCTCTATGCCTCCAGCCGCCAATATGACATGACAGAAGTCGTCGCACTGACAATGTATACTGACAATGCACTGACAATGTATACACACTCTCCTCTATACAAATAAAGCGCTGGCTTCGAAAACGTAATGTTTTTGTCATATTTGTTGACTTTAAACGCGCCTTTGATAAAATTATCGACTCTTTATTCTGACATAAATTGTATAGCTGTGGAGTCACTTCACGTGTTGTTGGTTTATTGCTGAATTTTTACGAGAATCCCAGTTCACTTGTCCGATCTAATGGCTCTTACACATCGCCATTTTTCGTCGAATCAGGAATTATCCAGGGAGAAGTATTAAGCCCTCTTTTATTCTCAATGTTTCTGTCTAGCATAGTCTATTACTTCAAGACATAGGCTGCCGCGGCATCCTTATACATAGATGAAAACACTGAACTATTAATGGTGTATGCAGATAACATTGTTATCCTCGCAGACTCGGAAATATATGTCAGAAATAAATTCGATATTTTGCTTAGTTATGCTAACTTAAATAAACTGGAAGTAAACACATAGAAAACTAAAATTATACGTTTTCCAAGCAGGGACACAAGTATATAGGTTCAGAATTTTTTTATAAAAATTATACAATCGATGTCACTAATAAGTTCACCTATCTCGGAGTTGTTTTTACCTATTCTAGTCTATTTTAAGAAATGGCAGTCTCAATAATGTGAAAAGCAAAACTTGTCTGTAAAACAGAAGCCGTCGCTTCTGTCTTACCATTTCTTATAAGTAAAATCCGTTCTTGGACTTCCATAGTTCATCTTTTTGAATCCCTCCAGTTTGGGGACTCTGGTGTTATGACAGTCTTCTTCTTTCTATGTAGACATGACTCTGTCTGTTTTTCAATGTGCCTCCAGTAAGTTGTCGTTCCATCATTTTCGTGGTCTTCCTATTGGGGAACCATCTCTTGCCGTCTTTACTACTCTATTTGTTGTCGTTCGGCTTATATGATCGTTCCATTCTACGCTTCTATTTCTTATCCAGTTCTTGATTTTCTCTACCTTGCATCTACGTCGTATCTGTACTTCTAGCTCTGCCCCATAGTGTCTTACCATCAATTTTTCTAAGCGTTTTCATCTCTGCTGATTCTAACATCCTTTTTGTGCTCTCATTGTGATTGTTGTGAGCATTATTGGTCTGATGACTGTTTTGTAAATTTTGCCTTTCGTTTCTTTCCCGATATTTATGACATTGTGGAGAAAATTCTAATGAATGGCTCATTCTGTCTCCGGCTTCTATATAACATGTAGCTTCTCCATTTTTAAAAATTTTAAAGTGTTTGTTTGTCTTTGTGTATTGTATTGTTATGTCCAAATTTACATGTATGACATTCTGCTCATGTCGGATAGGCCACAACTGACGAAATGCCCCTGAGGATGATCTATTGATCGAAAGTACTTGGGCAAGATTTAATTAATTACTGTGTTCGATATTTGCCTTGTATACCATCAAAGTTCAATATTACTTTTACCTTTGAACACACCAGACAGGTGAAAATTCTAAAAATGAATAATAATGGACTTTTTAAGATTTGCTTTCTACATCAATGTGCGCTTCAAGACACCCTCGAAAAATCGCGATATCAACCAAAAAACAAACCGCAGCAAATTTATTGTCAAAGTTTTATGCCAAGAAACAATTTATTGCTGCAACCGTTTCCGAGAAACAATGGTTATGCTAACATTACGGTAAAGCTAGCATAGCCTATATCTCGGCAATGGAAAGGGCTACAGAGCCCATATTGGTGGCATATTAAATTCTAAAAAAGATGACAGGGTCAAACAACAAAAATGTTTGTCAACAATGTTAGCCTAATTCTCCCAGTAATAAAAATCTTTTAAATTTGTAGGAAAATATTTTGGGCAAATAATATTGCTATGTCGTTTTAAATAAGTTTATCTTATTTTATACCATCATAAATGTACACCCACCTTAAATTCTTTCCTATTTAATATATTGAAAGTAAAAAAAGTTATACGTCACACTTTGAAAATAAAAAATATATGAATTTTTAATTTTTCAGGTTGTATGATCAGTACAGCTTTCAATTGATTCCAGTATTAGGGCAACTCATTGCTGGAAAGTGGCAACCATATAAATATCTAGTAGAAAGCATCAGACAGTTTCCTACACAGGTTAGTTACATCACTGGAGATAATTTTATAACAGCATAATAATTTCACATCTTTGATCCGCAATTTTTTGGTACTATTGTCATCTTTTGGTTTTAACCAGTCATCAAGATCCTTGAATTATTCCTTCTTCTTCTTGTACTTCCATTCCTATCGGTGATTGGATATCATCATGACTACTCTGACTTTATTAACCGTTTCAGCTTCGGTGACGAGTCCAAATGTGAGTATAAATTAGTGCTGACGACGTTTAAGCGGGCTGCGTATATCGGCAATGGATCTGATAGTGAAAGTAGAAAGATCTGATAGTAGAAAAGTGTCTGTTCAGATTTGCCTCAGGTAATCAGCGGTTCTCTTTATTTATCCTTAAGTACTACAGCCGACCAGTAGGAGGTTCGGTACCACAAAGCAGGTAGAAAAGAGAAAGCACAACAGAGTGGCTGTAACTAGAGTCATAAATTATTTTTCGGGCGTTAATCCGAAATACGACAGGGTAAAACGACTTCACTATAGTACAAGATCTCACTGCAGGATCACTACATTCATAAACTCACATTTTTACACACATTTAAAATTAATAGAATACATTGATAATAGCTTGCCAGTCAAAAAGTGGCTGTAAATATTTTAATTCAATTAATAGTATTTAGTTTTTGACAAATACTTTCTTTTGTTCATTTTTTTTTAAATAAAATACGCTGCTCATGACGTATATGCAAGTTCTTTATATCAAATTAAAGCTATTTTTTTTCTTAATATGACGATATAAGGTTGCCTGAAAAAAAATAGTCTAAAATTAAGGTTGCCAGCTGTTAAAAACGCGAAGTATCACAGATAAAGTAAAATAGGGTTAGACAAGGCTGGACTGGCTCATAAAAAATGCGCCTACCCAAACTCTTAAAAAAGGCGCCAACCTAAACTTTAAACAAATGCGCCAGGCCCCCTCCTCCTAAACTTTTTTGAAATCCCAATACACGTAAGTAAATCAATATTATTTGTGAATTTTTTTAAGTTGAATTTAAATCCATAAAACAATTAACTATTTTTAATCGGAATAAGCCACAATTTGGCTTTAAAATAAGTTTATTTTGACGTTTCGATTTTTATGTAGAAATTACCGGCAGAATGTTCTACGATACGCCAGTTCACACTGCGTGCGATGAACCGGCCACGTGGGACATAGATTCGACTAAAAGCTTTTTAACTGCAACAACTTTAATACAAGCTATTTTAGCCAGAATTACCGCGGCTCCTGGCACCAGACTTGCCCTCCAATTGATACTCGTTAAAGGGTTTAAAGTATACTCATTCCGATCAAGAGGCCTCCGATGAGTCCCCCTACATTATTTTTCATTACTACCTCCTCGTGTCGGGAGTGGGTAATTTGCGCGCCTGCTGCCTCCCTTGGATGTGGTAACTCAAGCTTCCTCTCCAGAATCGAACGATTCCCTGTTACAACCATGGTAGTCGCAGAACCTACTCGACAGTTGATACGATATCGAAACGTAAATTTAAAATGTAAACTTATTATCTGTATTAAACTATATTAAAAAATTATCACAAAGCATAATATACCAAATGTTTTTATCACTTTCCTGTTAATCCTCTAATGGGCAAAGTATCTAATAAGAAATAATTAGTATTTGTCCATATGTCGGGTAATGTATCCAAAAAGATATTCCATTTTCGTCAGTACCTGCCAATATATATTCAAAGACACTAACTAAATTGCCGCTTACCTGGCAATTGGCAATGTGTCTTCAGACGTCTACTTGTCTACTTTTCAAAGTGATCCTATCTGATTATAGACGAATCATGAATATTATTTTATACAATTATATGCTGAAGACCTAATTAATAATAATTATAGTTTACCAATCCATACAATAACTAATAACATAAAAAATTAATTTACTTAACCAATTGACACAAACTAGCACCTTCTTTGAAAGCCATTTTGAGCACTTCTACATAAAACACTCTCTGATTGGTGCAAATCTCCGTGTATGACATTCAAATTAATTTATTGGTTAGCCGAATGCTGTATGGAGAGAGTATGTTTAAAAACTCTCGGCAAACTTACGTTTATGTAGAGTAAGTGCATTTTAACAAATAATGTATCCTGGTGTACACACTGTCAAGTTAAGGGTTAAGATGCCACAAAAAAGCTTCAATTTCTCAAATCCCTTTACTCTGTTATACTCTTTTGTACTCCCTGGATATTCCAATAATTTTTTAAAAACTGTGAGTAATTTTTCTACTGCTTCTACAGAAGATTTTACTCGTTCAAAAAAATTTAAGAAAATCATGGTGATTGGTTGTCAATAGAAGTCAGTTTTTGATATTATTCGAGGGCGCCGCACGTCGCATCTTAGCTATTAACACAAATCGTGGGTGCCATTCAGAAGTTTAAAAAAAAATTTCAGCCTTAAATTCTTTTATGGATAGATGCCAATGAAGGCAAAAGGCGCACTGGATAGTCTTTCTCAGTCAAACTTATATCATCATATTTAGAAAAAAGTTGCTTTAATTTGATATAAGAAACATGCGTATATGCCATGAGAAGCGTATTTTAATAAAAAACTAAATGTATGAAATTATATTTTTGTCAAAAATTAATTACTATTAATTTAATTAAAAATATTTGTGGCCTATTATCAACGTATTCTCCTAATTTTACATGTGTATAAAAATGTGAGTTTGATTAACTACGTTATTAACGTAGTAATCTTGCAGTGGGACCTTAGGCTACGAGGTTTTTTAATTTTGACAGGAGTTGAAGGATTGCTAGGTTAACTTTATTCTAAAAAGTCAACTTAGGTTATTTCTGTGCACAGTTAAATATAGAGTATTCCCTTTTATAAGATTGTTCACTTTTTTTATTCGTGTTTGCTTGTTTTATATGTTCACTCTAGATTGTTGATTAATCTTATATCTGTTAATTTTACGGTTCTGGAATTGTTTTCTTTTGACATATCTAAATTAAATATTATGTTTATATGAAATTAAGCCACAATTGAGTGTAATGAAAATTACATTTTATATTTGTTTTTGATGTTTAGATTTTCACTTCGGAAATCACTTTCAAAAAATAAGTCAACACAACAGTATAATAACATCCTTAATTTACTTTTTAGAAATGAAAAATATATAAAATTTAATTTTCATTACAATCAATTGTGGCTTAATCCCATATGAACATAATATTTGCTTTAATTTCATAAACCTTTTTAGGAGTTTTTTATCAAGACATCCTCAACTATCTTAATTTAAACTCCTTATTTCATCAAAAAATATGAATTGCTATTTTCATTTATTTTAGTTGCCAACCTTGTTTAAAATTTGGTGATTCCCTATGTTCATGTATATAGTGGTAACATTGGTTTAATACCTCTTACAAGTTCTTTCTCTTTTTTTGAACATCTTTGTTTATTTTTGTCATTTTATAATTATTTCTGTATATATTCTTATAATGATCTGCCTTTCCATACATATTTTTTCTTATTAAGTATTTTGTTAATGCCTGGTCTACATGACATATCAGGTTACATATGTAAAGACACACATACACATTAATTGAAAGTAAATATGAAAGGAAATAATTAACCAAATATTTATATATACAAAATAATAATAAAAAATACCTAATACGAAAAAAGCATGTGTCAAGGGACAGAACAGATTTGTGTAACATTTCTGTTGATTTTTTTTTCTATATTTTAATATGTTAATGATGATTTTCCCAGTTTGTAGTCACCATCCACTACAATAATTTATTTTAACAAGTTTATCAGTATTATGTTTTTGGTTCAAAATAGTTATGACTTTTTAAATGAACAACTTCTAACATATTTTTTTAGGAAAACTTTAAGCTGATGATAGAGGAGGCTGGATTTCGCCAAGTGACATATGAAAATCTTACCTTGGGGATGGTAGCAATGCATTCTGGATTCAAACTATAATATAACTAAAAATGTTTATTTTTCTTTTACATTAAATACTTACATTATGTTTTCTTATCTATGATCATCCTGATAAACTCAAAAATCAATGTCACATAGAAAATATGATGGGTTCAATCAAATCCTTAGTTTTGGTTTATAATTTAGGGAAGATAGATATCACTTAACACTTAGATTGTACATCAAGGTTTAATGAGAAAAATGAGAAAGTATTTTTGTATATAAGGACAGAAGTCATTGCAAAGTGGCTGAATATGATGATGGTAATTACTTTTGCACTTCCTAATACTGTTGGGAAGGCTATAAACCAAAATTATGATGAAAAAAAAAACAAAAGTATTGAGAAAATTAAAAAAAGAATTCAGCGAAAAACTATCAAATAGGCACCAACAAGGCAGGCTACAGACAAACTGCTTATATAATGAAATTATAAAATAAAACATGAAACTGTACAACATGTATCAAAACCAAACTAATATTCAATTTTAAACAACACCCACAAAACTATTTACAATAACTGTCCATAAGTCTTTTTATAGCACAGCTCTTATCTTCCCCTTCCTGCAGGGGCTGCTTGTTGATTCTGTTGCCAATTACCTCTACCTCGTACTGGTTGTGTTTGCCCCCTGCCTCTCCCCCGAGCTACAACAAAATAAAAATTTAATGCAAAAACATGAACAAACAATTTTTAGCTGATCATATTAAAATTTTTATGAGCCCTAATAACTATATGTTGAAACAAGCAGTTATTTTGTAAATAAAATGCCAATTTACCAAAACTCTATTTAAAATTTTTTATATCTTAGATATGAAATTAACATTTTTTATGATGTATGAAATTATTTTTACATCTTAATTATATATTTTATGTTGATATATATATTATATATATATTATATATATATATATATATATATATATATATATATATATATTATATATATATATATATATATATATCGACTGCTTACCGCCAATACCTCCTATCTAACAATTTTGTCGAAAATGAGGTTTTTACGCCATCTACTAATGTATAGCGAAATGTATTATGTGCCAATGACTCGTATCTGTACGTAATCTGTAATGTGAGAAACTCTTTGTATGACAATACCTTCTAAATGTATCCATAATTTTCAAAGAAGCAACAACTTCTATCTTCCGTATAACCTATACTAATATTGTGACAGACACGTGTTGCTCCAAACAAATCCAAAACAAAATGTAAGTTTTATTGTATATTTTAGCATGTTTATTGTAAATAGTATTTATTATAAATAGTTTACTAATAACTCGCGTTAAAATGTATGGTTTTATGATGCCATACTATTTTTTTAGTCATGTTTTCTAGATAGGAGGTATTGGTATTCTTGTAAATGTAAAGTAAATTAACTTTTGTATAATAGGGCATATTTAAGATAGGAGGTATTTCCGTGTTTAACAGTTCTTTGGCTAATTAAAAGTAATAGTATTTTGACTGTCATGACGATATGATTATGATGTTAATCTTTTACATTTGTAATGAAATACGTATTTTAAGTCGTATAGATTAATAACTGTTAATATCAGGTCAATAATTATTATACTAACGATTAAGTTATGAAGCTTCGCAAAATAACAGTTAGTAGTTATTGTTTTTTCATTACAGATAGACATGTTGCCTAGAACTCGCAAGATTCTAGACCGTTGTAATGCACAGTTGCCTCTGACCTTACCACCATCAATTACGCCTCCAATTACTACACCATTTGAACAACCCATATCTTCACGAAATGAGGAGTGTGACATTACACTAAATACACCTACACCTACTGAGTTATCAAAAACACTTTCAAACGTTGAACCATGTTCAACACAAACATTTCCATTGACACAAAAAGACGCTTCCTTGAATTCAGCAGATTCAAGTTCTAATTCGAGTGAATTTTCAGAATATTATACAAGTAGTAGTTACCAACCATCCGAAGAAGCAGTATCTCCTTGTTCTTCTCCAGTTGAGCTGCTAACTGACGCAGATGATGTAACATACACCCAAGAAGTTTTCCATGGAGACTTGAGAGAAGGAAATTCACGTAAAAGAAAAGGAGACAAAGGGCAATGGAAAAAAAAATTATAACAAACTACTTAGGATGCAAGGCAAAAAATACTTGGGTTACACAAATCCAAAACATGAAAGAATGAAACAAAATAAAATGCGACCGGAAAGAATATTGGGAGTAAGGTGTGAATCAAACTTCTGCAAAAGAAGCAAGAAAAGGGTATGTGAACAGATAAGTGACGAAGACAGAAAAAATCTATTTCACCATTTTTGGTCCGACCTAACATGGGACCAGAGAAAAATTTTTGTATCTACTAACGTCCATACAACAAGTACAAAACGAAATACTACAGAAAATACGTCTAGACGCAGTAATACTCTCCAATTTTCACTACCAGGAAATGATGAGCATGGGAACACACTTCGACGGCCTGTATGTCGAATCATGTTCCTCAACACCCTTTGTTTGGGTTCATTTACGGTTCAATCATGGGTTAAAAAAGGTCGTTACGGTATGCATCCATCACAAAACAATGCCAACTTGAATAGAAAAAAAACTAGTAGGGTTGATGTTGAGATGCAGACTAGACATCTCGATAACTTTTTGGATGCATTACCTAAAATGCCATCCCACTATAATCGAAAAAATACTAATAAACTTTTCCTAGAACCACTTTACAAATCGCAATCCAATCTATATAATATCTATAAAGAATACTGTTCATCAAAAAATACCTCCGCATTCTCGATGAAAAAGTTTAATGAAGTATTTCATAGCAAGAATTTGTCCATTCACCAGTTAAAAAAGGACATGTGTGACACCTGTGTAGCACACTCCGTTGGTAATTTAAGTGAAGAACTTTACCAGCAACACATAAAAAATAAGGACAAAGCTAGAAATGAAAAAATGTGTGACAAAGAAAGGGCAGTAAGAAATGAATGCATTTTATTGACCGCTGATGTACAAGCAGTTAAAGTTAGTCCCTGTATAACTGCCAGTGCGATCTATTTTAAAACCAAATTGGCATGCCATAATTTCACAGTATACGACACGACTACCCATCACGCCACCTGCTACTGGTTTTCCGAAATCGACAGTGATGTTACAGCTTCCACTTTTGCCTCATTATTAATAGATTACCTGGAAAGACACTGTTTATCTAAGCGCTTACCAATTATTCTTTTTACAGACGGATGCACAAGCCAAAATCGAAATGCAATTCTTGCCAATGCACTGTTAAATTTTTGTATGCATCATGGCGTTACCATAACTCAAAAGTTCCTCGAGGTTGGACATACGCAAATGGAGGGGGACGCGGTGCACAGTGCTATAGAACGTAAGTTGAAAAACAGAAATATTCATTTACCTAGCGATTACCTGGCAGTGACAAAAGAAGCTAGAACCCGTCCCTTTCCATATGAAGCTCTGATGATTCCACACAATTTTTTCAAAAATTACGCAGATGAGTCAACCTGGAGATACACAACTATACGACCTGGCCGTAAGGTTGGTGACCCGAGAGTAATAGACATTAAAGCAATTATGTACAAACCTACTGGGAGCATCCAAGTTAAACTCAACTTTGATGATGATTGGACAGACTTACCATTACGACCACGGCAAATACCAGTCATTACGGAATATAAACCTATGCACAACACACCAATACCTATAACGGCCACCAAATTTAAACACCTGCAGGAACTTAAAACGGTCATACCACCTGACTGTCATGGCTTCTATGATTCCTTGCCACATAAATAAGTAAACTTTAATCTTTTATTTTCGTTAGAATGAAATCTTTAGTTGTGAATATGCATTTTGAATAAAATTCCATTTACTACCAACTTCCTTGCAGTTTCAATTTTATACTACCAATTTCTCCTAAGTCAAATATGTAAACTTATATTACTTACAATCACATAGTAACTGTATTAAAATATGAAAAAAGCTATAGTATTTTACCTTATAGAAGCAGGGTTGTGTAATATAAAAAATAAAAAAAATAATTAGTTTTTTCTTCCTCCTGCACAATTTCTATTTATGTAGATAGGAGATATTGGCGGTAAGCGGTCGATATACTTAATTGTTTGATAATCTAAAACTGCTGATACTAAATATTAAAACATTTTTTGGTTTTCCTCTCATTTCAAGTTTTATCAGCCTGATGCAAAGAAGGCTTTGAAATCAAAAATAATTCTCATGCGTCATTTGAGACTATACTATCAACTACTGTCTTTAATATAATTAAAAAATATGGTGAAACTGCCAGTAATGATGTTCAAGACAAAAGTTCAGGCCATCCAAAAGCTGTTTCTCAAAGATTTTGTAAGGCATTTAATTAGAACATGGAAGTCAGGAAGACGAAATACATTGAGAAAAGTAATTGCTAGCAGCCAAAGGATTTTTTACTCTTTATTGAACGCATAAAATGCCCAACTAAATATCAAGATATCCTTGAACATTCGTTTTTAAAAAGTGTGGCAAAGTTATATCCATCAGGAGATTTTATCTTTCAACAGGACAGAGCCTCAGCCATACAGCTAAATCAACCAAAAAATGAACTGGATAACATGACATTAAAGTTTTGTCACATCTTTCTAGTAGCCAGATCTTAATTCAATAAAAATACTTTGGCACAAAATGAAACAACACTTAAGAAATAACTCTCAACATACTTTGCCACAACTACATGCTAAATTGCAAGATATATACAACAGCTTTACCTCTGAATTCTGTGAAGGCTTAGTTCATACAATGCCTAATAGAGTTCAGGCTATTATTCAAACTAAGGGCAATATTACGCCTTATATTAATTTTTATTTTAATTTGTTAAAAACCTCTTGTTCCAATATTTAGTTGTCACAATGTTTGATTATCAAACAATTAATTAAATAGTATGTAATCAACATAAAAAATATATAATTAAAGGGTAAAAATAATTTCATAAAAATATTAATTTCATATTTACAATTTAAATAAAAGAATCTCAGTAAATTGGCAATTTTTTGTTCTTTGTAAAATTATTGCTTGTTCCAACATACAGTTAAAACAATTTAAAATAATCTGCTATGCAGATGACGCAATCTCAAACTGAAGATGATTTACAACATAAGCTGCACCATTTTAATATAACTGCCAGAAAATTTAACATGTTAATTTCCCCAAAAAAGACAAAATGCATGGTTACAACAGCAAATTTACTAGCTACCTGGAGCTGGAAGGTCAGATAATAGAACAAGTGATGGAATTTAAATATCTAGCCATCACATTATCTAGCTACGGAAAGCTTGAAACCGAAGTGGAAGATCAAGTAAATAGAGCAAACAGAGCCGCAGGCTGCCTAAATGAAACAATATGGGGAAATAAAAATATCTGGAAAGAAGCGAAAGGCAGAATTTACAAAACAGTCATCAGACCAATAATGACACACACGGCAGAAAGAAGACCTGATAGAGAAGAGAGGACAAAAATGATGTTAGAAACAACAGAGATGGAAACACTGTAAGACACTATGGGACAGAGCTAGAAGTACAGATATACGATGTAGATGCAAGGTGGAGAACATCAAGAACTGGGTAAGAAATAGAAGAGTAGAATAGAACAATCATATAAGCTGAATGACAACAAATAGAGTAGTAAAGATGGCAAGAGACAGTTCCCCAATAGGAAGACAACAAAAATAATGGAACAACAACTTACTGGATGCACATTGAAAAACAGAGTTGTATCTATAAAAAAAAAAGTAGAAGATGCAGTTGTTAGGGCTCATACAGTGATTCCTGTATCAGTTCTTGGGCAATATGCAGTTTAGGACACTGTATGTAACCAAGCTTTTATATGACATTTTAACATTGGCTTAAATGGTGTCAGAGTTGCCAAGTCTCCAGTTTTTTCATACTCTCACATAATATAGAAATGCATTGAAATTATATAAAAAAATTATAGATTTTACTTAAAATGAAGATAATAATTAAATGCATATACAATAAAATTCATTAAAATGATATAAAAAATAATAGTATTAATAAGATTACTGCATGTAATGAAAATGGATTAAAATTATATAAAAATTCATAGATTTTAGTTAAAGATAATAATCAAATCCATATACAATAAAATTGATTAAAAGTATATAAAAAACTAATAGTATTAATCAAATTACCATATATAAGAAATACATTGAAATATACAATGCATTCTCATAATACAAATTAATTTTGTAAAAGTAACTTATAATTTAAACCTTCATTATACATTTTACAAAAAAAATGTGGCAAGTTTTATACTTATTTCAAATTTGTAGTTTCTTGTAACACAAATTATTATTTCATAAAAGTAACTTTATATTTCTAACATTTCTACATATTTTACTAAAATAAATATGGCAGCACTGTGACGCGGTGCCTTGAGGAAAATATATTTGGTTACATAGAGTGCCCTAAACTGTGTATTGCCCTAATGCTTTTTTTAAATCTAACATTTATGTTAATATCAGCCAAGTCAGGTTAAGTTTGAAATACAAATAAAATCAATCACATTAAAAAGTGAAAATAAGCATGTTGATAACTGGGAAAATAACATGAAATTTTAAGTGCTTCATTAAAATTTTGTTTTTGGAAATAATATTGAAATATCGTTCATGCATTATTTTAAAATAAAGGTTTACACCAGTTTTTACAGGTTATAGTTGATATCAGTTAGGCTGAATATTATACATACATTGTCCACTAAAATTATATCACTATCAAATACTGTTATTTCGTTTTGGGCAAACCTTACTTATTTTTTATTTAGAATAAGCAAATGAAGGTTTAAACAAGCTATTTGAGCAAGTAATCAAGTAAACTCTGTATAAAAAATTATTCTTGTACCTTGGGCTCGCAGTATAGCAGATTTTCCTCGACCTGCCGTTCCCGCTTTAGTTTGTTTTTTGAACATAGGAGCATTTTTCAACATATCTGGTAATACTAGAAATCTAATTTTTGATCCTCTAATATAAACATTTTCCAATTGAGCTACTCTTCCATCTCTGTAAGTTACAGTAATTTGAGTCATTTGGCAATTCATATTATCTTCAGCTTCTATCAGTTTTCCTCTATATACTTCGCCGGTAATTGTTTCACAGGTTATTACATGACCTTCTGCTTCATGGAGGACTTTAATAGGTACACCAATAGACATTTTGATATCAAATAATTAATATTTTATTAATATTACAGTAAAATCTAATCGGGAAACTTCGATGATAACAGATATATTTTATTTTGAGTTAACGTTCAAAATACGTTTGTTTGGCTAATCACCAGTCAATTTGACATTTGTTTGACAGACAACAACAAAAAGAGAAATTCCAGTTAGCCAACATAAACCACTAATTAAAAAAAATCTAAACATAATTTAAATTTAAATAGCGGGTTTTAAAGGGTAAATTCTTTATCTATAATAATATAAATTAGTTGTCCTAGTTTTTTTCCTTGCTAATAAAAATTATACTTTGTTTTTAATTCTAACTGGATGGTTTTTTATCAGAAACTGTCATACTGTTAATGCAACATGCAACCCTCTATGCCTGTATTGTCAAATATTTGAACTTTGCATTTGTCATTTGTCATTTTTTAATAAGACATAAGATTGTGATACAATAACAAGTCAGTGATTTTCAATAACTAAAATATAATATTAATTTAGTGTCGACAGAAATAAAATTAACAATAAAAGATGTCTACTCAAAAATATCCAAGATCGAACAATCCTTTTGAAGAAGATGATGTTGATGATGAAACCTTTTTGCGAAATTCGAGAAGACCAACATATAACAATATACAACCCACTTTTGATGAACAGCTGCAGTCTTTTGCAGAAAAAAAACGAATTATAGAGGAACGTACGCTTAATAGCACAGAAAAAAGCATAAGTATTTTAAGAGACTCGGAACAAGTAGGTATAGCTACAGCAGAAGAGTTAATGAGACAAAGAGAGAAGCTTGAAAAAACTGATAAACAGCTGGATGAGATCAACTCTACACTTAGGTTTTCTCAGAAACATATAAATGGTATTAAATCTGTTTTTAGCAGCTTGAAGAATTATATGGCTGGCAGGAGTGATTCTCCCAATTCAACAACTTCTAGTTCTACTCCTAGTACTGTTAAGGTAAGTATGGTTGTAAATTAAAATAATTCAATGATTTGATGATATATTAGCGATACAGATTATATACACATTTTTCTAATAATAAATAAAAAGTTCAAAAATCCATCAAAAAGTATGTCTGCTAATTCTTCTTCTTCAAGTTCCACTCCTATCGGAGATTGGAAATCATTCTGGCAGTTATAATTTTATTGGTTACTCGCCTAAATAGTTCAATTGAACTGCATCCAAACCATTCACGGAGGTTGTGTAGCCACGAGATTTTACGTCTTTCTATGCTTCTTCTACCTTTGATTTTACCCTGCATTATATTCCTTAGTAGTTCGTACTTTTCACCTCTCATTATGTGCCCCAAGTATTCCAATTTCCTGATTTTTATGGAATTTAAAACTTCGCATTGTTTTCCTAGTTGTTCGAGAACTTGTTCATTTGTTTTACGATCCATCCATGATATTTTTAAAATACGTCGGTAACACCACATTTCGAATGCTTCTAGGTTTTTAATGTTGGATTTTTTAAGTGTCCAAGCTTCAACTCTATACAAAAGGGTAGAGAAAATATAACATCGAAGCATTCTTATCCGGAGCGATATATTGATATCGCAATTACAAAAAAGTTTTCTCATTCTATTAAAAGTTGACAGCGCAATTTCAATGCGGCATCTTATTTCTTTTGTCTGATCAGTATCTTCTGTGATCCATGCTCCAAGATATTTGTACGAAGATATTTGTTCAATTTCTGTATTATCTAGTACTAGCTTAACTTTGATGTTTTGTGCTTTCGTAAATACCATGAACTTGGTTTTCTTCAAATTGATTTTTAGTCCATAATCGTTGCAATATATATTTAGTTGTTCAGCAAGATGTTGCAGTTCTTCTAGTGTTCCTGCCAGAAGGACGGTGGTAGGATTTAATGCATCTGAAATATAATTACAGCAGTTGATGTATATATTATAATACTCTTCTATAGTAGAGTCTAATCTTTTTTTTTCAATGTTTCTCCAGTAAGTTGTCATTCTATAGTTTTCGTGGTCTTTCTACTGATAGTCTTCCTATTGGGGAACCGCCTTTTGCTATCTTTACTACTCTGTTTGTTGTCATTCGGCTTATATGATTGTTCCATTCTACTCTTCTATTTCTTACCCAGTTTTTGATGTTCTCCACCTTGCATCTATGTCTTATATCTGTACTTCTAGCTCTATCCCATAGTGTCTTACCATCAATTTTTCTATGTGTTTTCATCTCTGCTGTTTCTAACATCCTTTTTGTACTCTCTGTGTCAGGTCTTGTTTCTGTTGTGTATGTCATTATTGGTCTGATGACTGTTTTGTAAATTCTGCCTTTTGTTTCTTTTCCGATATTTTTATTTCTCCATAGTGTTTCATTTAGGCAGCCTGCGGCTCTGTTTGCTCTATTCACTTGATCTTCTACTTCGGTTTCAAGCTTTCTGTAGCTAGATAATGTGATGCCTAGAGATTTAAACTCCATCACGTGTTCTATTATCTGATCTTCCAGCTTCAATTTACATCTTAGTAAATTTGCTGTTGTAACCATGCATTTTGTCTTTTTTGGGGAAATTAACATGTTAAATTTTCTGACGGTTATATTAAATTGGTGCAGCATATGTTGTAAATCATCTTCACTTTGAGAGAGTAGTATTGAGTGGTCTCCACATAGCAGATTATTGTTGTTCTTATTTAAGTTGTTTTTCTCCCATTTGGTATCCTTTTTTAGTTCTTACTTGTTTGATTATTTCGTCCATAGTCAGGTTTAACAATAGAGGACTCAGGGAATCTCCCTGTCTTATCCCATTGCCAGCTTCAATAGGATCAGTTGGTTCTAATCTGAAGTTGAAACTTCTTGTTGCTACTTTTATTGTTAGTTTTCTGAGGAATTTTCAATGGTACTGGCTGTACCATTGAAGAGCTGTACCAGAGCCCTGTTCCTTTTAGGAAGCTTAATATGATATGCAGCTTCAGATTTGTAAGTGTGTCTCTCTGATTTTATACCTCTCAAGTGTAGTTTAGTTTAATGCCCATATTGCTGCATGCTTGTTTTACAGTGCACTTCTTTTTACACATATAGGCTATCTAATAAAAGCCATGTCTGTATATTGCAGTATAATAATCTGCATTAATAAACAGCTGTAAAAACTGATTCAGTAGAATTTCCATGGTGTAATGAAATAATTAGATATTCATCTCATTAGATTGTTAAGGTTGTTGCCTAATCAGAAGTCTTTATTAATTTTGAATCCTTTTAAATCCAAAACTATTTTGGTATGATTCTGTATTAATTTTATGTATAAGAGATAGTTATTTTAAAAGCAATATTTTTTTTATTTGCACTTAATAGAACAGATGTTTTATTATATTTTAGAATGAATCTAATTAACATCAATTATTTTTAGCAATCTACATCTAACACAAATTTAGAAGAAAAGCTCAATACATATGATCGTTATGAGAACCACCCATCAACAAGACTGAGGAACACTGACTACAACAACTATAGTCAGGTATCTTCAGGTGGTAGTAAAGACTTTAGTGCTAGACTAGATGCAAATTTACAAGAAATGTGTTCAAATATATCTCGTCTTAAAGGTCTGGCTTCAGAATTAGGTACAGAAATAGAATCCCAAAATGAATTGATTGGGGACATTACAGATAAGACATTACTTGCTGATATTACTATTACTAAACAAAATAAAGAAATGAATAGGATTTTAAAAAAATAATTGTAATAATTGTTGAGGTAGTACAATTTTGGCCTAATAATATTATTCTGAAAATGCTATTTAATATTTTGCTATTAAACTAATTGAAATCTTTATTACATATAAAAAAGAAAATAAAAATGGATAAGTGCAATATCAACTACAGTGTTTTCTATACAAATATATTTGTTTAATAATTACAATTTAAAAGAAAAATATGTAATTTATTTATATATTAGCAATCATAATTACAATGATTATTTAAGCTGGTAAACTTTGGATCAGGAAAATCTTTATTGTTAATTTAACTTTCTTTAACACTAAGTGGAGAATATGTTGAATGAATCTTAGTCAGTTAATTGGTTTAAAAATTACCCATTCAATTTTATTTACTATTTAAGAAGGAAGAATGTGGTTGTTAGTACAGCGAGAAACAGTTTTGTTTATGGTAGTGTATATTCAGGTTAGATTTTGGTCTGTTTTCTGGTATTTATTGGCATTTGTTAGTAGGTTTTGGTCCAATAAGTATACTAGGTTGCATTAGCTATCACTCAAGCATTACACAAATCAGATTTATTTTATCATATTTGTCTTATATATAGATATTTTACACTCTATTGTACAATTTGTTTAATAATGTAGATGATGTCAAATGTATTGCCTATATAGTGCAGCAGACGCAGTCCTAACTTTTTGGGTACAGTGTAGTTTATAATACTTGCCAACTATCCTGTAAATTCCATTTATGGGGGTGGTTTCAGGACCTTGAAATTCTGAGTTATTAACAGCCTTGTCAATCTGGTGGGTATGTGCAGATTAACTCTAAACTAGATCAAAATCTCTAGTAATGTTGTATACAGTTGTTAATAATTTTTATGGTTTACAGTATCATATGCTGAGTAATGTAAATATAGTCGAACCCACTTATTGGAATAACTTTCATGCTAAGAAAAAATATTCCTATTACCGGGATATTCTAATAACTGATTGTTGTATAATTTTTCTTAAAAGCAGAAATTATTCCGTGATCCATTGGTTGAATAAGTGAAGTTGTATTGGCGGACAAGAAATGGTTTGCTACAGCCCCACATCAAGTTTATGGGCAGAGCAGTTATCAACAAATAACAAAACTTTTTTATTTTTTGTCATTTTCTTGTCGAAGTTAATAAGCCATTCCTTAGACAGAGTTGTTGTCATCCAAGCATTTTTATTAAAACTGTATTTTATAGTAAGTGATTTTCCAGATTTAAAACACCTTCGACTTTTTGCTTTTTCAATAATAAAATGTGGCAATTTATGGCTTCTATCGGATTTAGCACAGAACATAATCGTTAATCTGTTCCGCCTACAGCTTTGTCCTCTGGGAAACAAAAGGTGCCGTCTGAAGTAGCTTGATAATAAAGCACAGTTTCGTCACAATCGTACACTCACACTGGTTCATAATTTTTAATTAATGAAGGTAATACATCTGTTATCCATGTATATGTGGCAGATACATCGACATGTTTTGCTTCTCCAACAATTTTTTAGAAGAAAACTTGTGAACGATTTTTCCGTCTGCAGAACCATCCTTTTGTCGCTTAGAAGTTCACATTGCCCTAATAAACTGGACCGCTGATAGGAACCTTTCAAGCTAATTCTCAGTAAACCATTCAGCTAATACCTGTTCGATGTCTGAATCTTTCTCACTGTGTTTTCGTTTTTGGGTTAATTTTGAATTAGCTCGCCAATCGTTGATGAAACTGTCTTGACTTTTTAATAGTTTGCTCACTTGAGCTCGTGCAATTCCCAACTGTCTAGAAATTTAGATTTGACTGCATTTGGATTGTTTCGTGTATTCAGTTCCATTAACTTTTTCTTTTAAATATCCTTTCTTTTCGAATTTAACAATGCCATGATTTACTTGCAAAAATTTAGGTATCTGGGTGAATTCTAAATTAGCTGTTTCTAAACATGTATATATTAACAGGCAATAAAGTGGAGGGGCAATAGAAATTTTTAGAGAAATTCAAAAAGTAATGGGAAACGTTTCAGGACCTCTAATTTCTATTCTTTAAACTGGGATATACCTGTAACCGCTATTTCTAACAAGCGGGTTCGGCTGTATAAGCTACACAGGTAATTTGCTTCCGCAATGAAACCAAATACAAAAAAACTCTTATGTGCTGTGTCAGATTTAATATTTGCACTGTAAAATTTTTTTTTAGTAAATCTGCCCATTTAAATACGGTAAGAAATTGTAACCTCATTGAATGATGTAAAATTACCCATTACCATTTTTCCCAGAACTTTGCTAAAATTCAGTAAATTTACCTTCTGACAACTACAAAATAGCCTTTCAGTTCTAAAATTACCAGTGGTAAAATTTCATCCGAATTTCATTAGTGTCAGTAAATTGCTCATGCCAATGTATTTTACAGACTTATTAGTAAATTTATCGTTAATTTTGTACATTTACAGTTTCTTGTTACCATTTTTAATAGACAAATTTACTACTATTGTAAGCAAAAGTCATGATGTCAATATTATTATTTTCTTTTTACCATCCTTACCAGTAAAATACTACATAAATTATATTTATATTTTAAGTCCTAAAAATAATTTTCTTATGACTCACTAATTACTGTATATGTATAGGTAATTTATGTACTGGAACAGGGTAAATCTACTGAAAAATTTTTACAGTGTGGTCATAAGCATGAATTTCTAGGGCTGAGTTCAGATTTGTTCGGGTATTATTTTATGATTTATAGTTTGAGAAATGCAGTTCGGTTTCATCAAATGGTTTGCATAGTTTGTGATTGGTATAAATCAATGATTGGTGTAAATGTCTTCCTTAGAATTTTCTTTTCCCAACTTCTGTTATTTTGTATTTTATTCCATGTTTTTTATCTTTTGAATCATCCATGTGTTGCATCCATAATATTACTATGGCTTTTATTTCCTCTTGTTTTTATCTGTGTTAATGACTTTGGATTTTGCATATTTATTACAGGTTCAATCTTATTGCTGTGAAGCAGTATATAATTCGAAAAAGACTTAGAATCATAACCTGTTTACTGTATTTATTTTCCTTAACAAAAAGGCAGCATTTGTAATGTATTCAACTTCACTGAGTATTTTATATTTACTTTGAGTATTAAACAATTCTCATACAGTATACCAATATTTTAATTTAATTTGTCGTATAATGTATAGGTGGTGCAAACAATTAAATATAAATTAGAAATATATATATATATATATATATATATATATATATATATATATATATATATACAACTGGCAATATTATTTTTAAAGATTTTTTTGTTAAGGTAGTACATTAGAGGCAAAATTACAATAGTTATAATGAGCAATTAAAAATGGCTCCTAAGGTTTAATTTTGTTATTTTTACATGTGACATCTCGTGGATACCAAGTGGGTGTTTGTTAGTAAGTTTCAATTTCGTTATATACATCCACCTCGGCCATTTGTCATAAAGATTCATATATTTATTTTTTGGAATAACACAATGATCTAGCCAGGATGTCCATAAAGTAGGCCATACTTCCATTTGAATATAAATAAGAAAATGAAAATTAATTTAATTTATCCATTTTTCAGTTATGTATTCAGGGAAGTATTTCCACCTTATGTTTTTTATCTCCTCTTAGGAATAACTAAAATATGCACACCAGTTCCTGAGATGTAATATAATTTTTAGATGCGATTTTTATCTAATATTATAATTGCATCAACTGTACAATTTAAATATGTAGTCTCAATAATTATGAACATGTGGTAAAGGCAAAAATTCCTTTTTTGTCATTTGTTTGGATATTGATATATCGCATGTAATGTGCATCAATTAACTGACTTTTATGTTTATTTGTCATTTAATATAATTAATAAATTAAATAGATTTAGTATTATCATCTGAATGCAAAAAATAAATTATTTCGTAATTAGGTCAAAGCAAACTTTATTTTGTTATTAATATATTGTAACAGATGTAAATATCAAAAGTTATAGTTTATTTATTATTGGATGATCATGTGCTGCAAAGTTTATTTTTCTCTTTTTTATATCGCTGGAAATAAAATTTTTATTAGCCACTATTATTTTTGTTCTGAATTGTAAGATGGTATTTCTATCCTATAAAATTCTCCACCTCTGATGAATACTTCTGGGTTAGGTATAGCTTATCTCCCTTATCCCTCATTTCCATCCGCCACCTTTGCCACTTCTATATCACTCTCTACCTTACGTTTTCGGTTCACTCTGCTTCCTTTGGTTATCAATAGTTATTGCATTACTCTTCACTATTGATAGTATACGTCAGTACTGTATATCAGTCAGTACTGTATACCAGTCAGTACTGTAGCACAATATCGTAGCCACTTCAATTATTTTATTGAGAATCCCTAAATTTGGGAGCATACTTTTTTATCTTAAAAGAAGAAATGGGCCCTCGGAGATGCCTGGCATATGTGAAACATCAAAAAATATTTTTTATAGAAAATTTGCATGAAAGGATGGTTTATTAAAGAAAATAAATTTGGCATAATTAAACATAAAACATTCAGTTTAAAAAATAGTATATTTGAGCTTTTTGAACTGTTCCGTCGGTTACTTCGGTGATATTAATATTCGTTGCTGCCTGTAACACCACCATGTTGTAATTAGTCGATGATAATGAAAGTATGGTTAGGTCAGGTTTCGCTAAAAATACTGCATACACTATATCAGAGAGCTCAGCGCGGCAAGAGAGAGCCGAGGCGGCGTGGAGGACAGAGCAGAGTTGCAAACTCGTGCATGGAATGCGAAATGTTGGCACCACAATGGTTGGTCTAACCCGCCATTAATTGTTTTACATCAAGACTTTCATCCATGTCTACACTCCTTATAAGAGTATACACTATGTCACGGAGTACGTTTTAGAGTATTAAACGTACTCTATGCTAAAATTTATTATTATTATATTAATATGGGAGTTTATCGTTTACCAGACACTATCTCTATAAGGCGCATAAAACTCATCATTATACACTAATCCTCTGTTCTTTCATATTAACTGTCCAGCATTAGGTGTGTAGATTTTCTTTTTACACTTTCAATGAAAATTTTCTGTTACATTACACATGACTCGCTTTTTTCCATCTTGTCCA